GAAGTGGCACTGTGGCTCAAGTGGCACAGTGCTAGCCTTGAGCTGAAGAGCTGAGGGACAGCGCCCAGGCCAGAGTTCAGGCCCCACTACCGGACCCCCCCCCCCCCAAAAAAAAAAAAAACAATCAAGTCACAGGAAAACCAAACACCGTAAGCAGACCAAGAGACTGGTTACAGAAACAGGGGAAATACAGGATCTTCCCATTCCCCCCCACACACACCCGAAAAAATTTTAAAAAGCAATCAAAGGACAAATATATATAAAAATAAAAGACTGTTCCCTCACTCTCCAGGAATTTCAGTGGCTCCTGATGGTTCTTGTTTACCTCTAACGTGCTGGATATAAATTACACAAATTATTCTTGAATAAGTACTATCACATGGAGTAAGACAAAGCCCTCACTGGGACTTTAAAAGCTATGTGGAGCAAAGCACCCAGTTACCCCTCTGACCATCCCTTATTTTTCTCCCCTTATTACTGTTAATATAGTTCATGCCAGCATTCTAGCCAGGCACTATATTACCTCAGGCTTTTGCATATACATCTGCAGTTGCCTTAAATGCTCTTTACCAAAGGTGTGCATTTTATTGACTCTCAACATGACCTGCTCAGAGGCCATGTCTAATCAACCCATTTTTCTTCGACTTTCTTTTCCCTTCCCTTAGCACTTGCAATTATGCAACATTCCATTTATCTTACTTATCTTGTTTATTATACTTTCCTCCAAACTAGAATAGAAATAACATGAAGATGAGGACATTTATTTATTTACAGCTGTGTCTCAGTGCCTATGACAAATCTAGCACATAGTATAATTCACTCAATAATTGTTGACTAGTTGAAAGAATGAACAAAACATACTCCCCTCTTCAGTAACCATAGCACTACAAAACTTCAGTTCAAATCATTAAGTTTGTAGAAGTAGCACACGAATAGTGGACTACTGGAATGATTGAGCTGTGAGAAAAATGAATGAGCTGGGTGGGGGGGGAGGAATGTACCCTTCTAATAAGCCTGATCTTGAAGGAGACAAAGAAAAAAAATACTTGGTAGGGAATAAAAGGAATGGAATTACAAGTAAAGAAACTGTCATAGCGAAAAAAAAATAGTGAATTCATTCATTCACTCACTGATTCATTCATTCATTCACCCAACTTGGGGATAAGTCCATGAAAAAAGCCCCTGTCCTCAGGAAGCTTACTTCTATTTGTTGTATCATATATCATAGTATCAAGCATTATGATATTGGACAGAGCAAAGAGCAAGGAGCTCCCATAGGTTCTCAGTCAGGAAGAGCTTCCAGTTATAAAAGATCTTCTCTTCAGCCATCAAAGGCTGGATTCTGATAGGGGAGAGAAGTAGGAAGGGTGGGAGTCCCCAGAAAGGGATGTTACAGATCAGAAAAGAGGCAGTGGTGATGAGAACTAGGGGTGAGAGTGGTAAATATCACCATAGAAGAAGTTGGAATAAGAGACCCTGAGATAAAGAAAATAAGGAAGAATCTTTTGTGCAAAAGGGTTTCAACATGTCAGTTTATGCACTCTGCTCAATGAAGAAAGGGTCATAAAGCCCCTAAATGTGAGGTCTTTGGTGAAGAGGAAGGAAGGTGGCAGACCATTTCTAGGAGCTGGGGGAAGGGTGGAACCAAATTGAGACCAGTCCCTCTGAGCTTCACTGTCAACACTAAAAGGACCACAGCACTTTGCTGATGTTTACTTACCAGTGTCCAGCATTGGCTGTTTTCTAATAAGGCTAAGTGTGGAAATTGGAAACAATTTGAATTTAGTCATTTGAACTAGATCTACCAAGTAAATCCTGTTGCTTTTACCTGAAACACAACATGTCAGTTTCCCAAAGCTATTTATAGGTGGAATAATGTTTCAAGATATTATATATGCTAACTGAACATCATGATGATTTAGAAAATTTTTTAAATCAGGTTTTTTTTTAAATTTTTGCTTCTGATGTAGCTAATTGGCTTGAATCAATCTATTTTCTCAAAGTTGAAGTTACTACCTGGCTGTAGTTCACTCTTTTAAACAGAAAAACTCTTTCACTTGTCACATTGAGAAGAAAAAGACAAAGGATGACAGCATTTAATTCCCCAGTATAGTGATCCAATTCAAAGGAAGAAAATAGTATTCAATTTAATATTTTTGGAAAAGTTATTTCTTGAAATTGTTTCCTGAAATACCATTTTACGTTGTATGATAGAAGTCACATTTCTGAGTCCAAAAGAGGCTCTTCATGGGAAAGATGGTGAGTGTGAATTTTCAGTAATAAAACTTGACCACAGCAATAGCTGGATCTGAAAGAGCTCTGCGGGTATAAGAAGTGGAAGGACCATCTGAGTCGTTCCCCTTTTATGAGCATGCCCGGATGTGTCCACTTACACCTCCCTGTCTAGCACCACTTCCTGAGAAGAGTCTGGTTTCCTGCATGTGATCAAGCCCTGCGCAACTATCTAGCATGTCTTTCATTTAAAACAAAACAGGGTTTTAGTTACTCCTCTCTGGACAATTCAGATTAAATGAAAACAAAAGCCATATTTTTATAATAAAGAATTTGAAAATTATGAATGTACATTCCTATACATTCTTTTTTGTATCAGATCTTGAATAAGAAATAGAATAAAGTGAACAGGCAGAAGGACTAACAGGTTTTAAACTACTTTTGATGGCTTATATTAAAAAAAGGAAACTTTGATTGTAATTGATTAGTGTTACATGTTACAGCATAGTTGTCTGCCATAGTGTTAACACGAGGGTTTTTGTATTAATGCTGTGTGCTACTCAAGCCTGCCAAAATGTAATTACACAATCACTATTCTGCTGTTGCCATCACAAAAGCGATGTAATGACTTTGTTAAGAGCTTCTTAGGGCATAATTTTTTCAGTAAATACAAGTATGAAAGATGAAATAAAATTATGAAAGACGACTATATTCTGGAAATGCAAATGTGGAAAAATGTATACCCTACTGCTTAGTGATCATAAGGAGTTAGCAAATATTTTCATTAGGAGAAGGAAGGAACAATTATAGTTCCATCAAGCTAGTTCCCAACTTAGGACCTTTGAAGTTTCTAGTCCACCTTTCTGGATATGTTTCTACTCTTTCTCACCTTTCTTCTTATCATCCAGGTCTTATCACCAATGTCACCTATCCTGACATTTTTCTTAGTCTAATTCCCTTTTCCCATATCCTTAGCTCTGCTGCACTTGCTTTATAACTATTCCTTGGCCTTAATTTTTTCTTAGCCCTTATCATGATCTGAAATCACTTGCTCATGTACTACTTTTCTGGTTTATCTGTCTCCCTAACTGAATTGTAAACTCATGGCCCATGATACTTTAAGTTCTCATAGACTCTAAGTTCTCATAGACTCTATTTACCCATTGTGGAAACAATCACTGGTGAGAACAGGATGTTACACTGATGATAAATTAGGTCCATCCCTAAGCTTGGGGGGAAATCAGATGTCTGAACAAAATGGAAGTCATTTTGGAAGGCAAAGGGGGAAAGGGCACAAGTGTTGTATATTTCATTGGCCCTTCTTCATTTGGGAGCAATAGATAACATATCACTAAAATGACTTTTCCTTTTTTGTTCTTTTTTGCTAGTCCTGAGGCTTTTACTCAGGGCCTGGGCACTTGTCCCTGAGCTTCTTTTGCTCAAGGCTAGCACTCTACCACTTGAGCCACAGCACCACCTCTGGCTTCTTCTGTGTATGTGGTACTGAGGAATTGACCCCAGGGCTTCATGCATGCGAGGCAAGTATTCTACCACTAAGCCACATTCCCAGCCTGGTAATAAGACATTTTATCCTCATGTTTTTATTATTTGATCTGCTGGTAAAGACTGCTTCAAGATTCTGGGGATTGATGATAACTGGAGACTTAAACAATTATAGTCTTCTGAATAAATTGCAAGCTTTTGCTTAAGAGCATGAGGAAAAATCCCTAATTTCATCATCTGCCCTTAGCCAGGTACTGCAGACCAGGAAAAATTGGAGGAGAGACTTGGGGGTCCTCTTTCAGCTTCTTTAATCCCATCCTGTGTACTTAGTGAAGACTATTCTGAAGAACCCATCTAGTTTCTATATGCTTCTTGCTTATGTTATCCTATCTTTCTTCCTCAAAACTTAAGAAGTTTGAGGGGCTGGGGGTTTAGCTCAGGGGAAGAGCTCCTGCCTGGCGAGAGCAAGGCCCTGAGTTTGGTCCTCAGCTCTGGGAAAAAAAAAAAGAAAAAAAACTTAAGAAGTTTGAGGATAATTTGGGAGGTGAATGAGGAAGAGTTTAAGATGTCAGAGTGGCAAAAATGGTGTAACCACTCAATTTCCTGTTTACTTTCTCTCTATGATCTGTTTCAATCAAGCTAACTTCTCAATAGTTCTCTCCAGGAGTTTTTCTTTCCCTTGACAGGGTGGGACTAAGGGCAGAAAAGATAATATAAATGGTGTCCTGAAATAGTCATAGTTCCTCAGGTTCTAGTCCATTACCAATAGTTTACTAACATGTAAGGGTGGTTGAAATGCAAAAGGTATTATCAAGCCAGAAAATGTCATGAAGTAGTAGGATTTGGTGTTTTATGAATATACCTGATACTTTTAAGAATATTAAATATTCTATGGTAAGTTTTTTTAAATGAGGTTAATCCTGGTTGTTGTGTTACTTGTATCTTTGATAGATTTACATTACCTACTAAACAAATACCCAATTTGAGAGACTTCCCTTTTGTTCCATATCTGATCAGTGGCCTAATTTTGTCCATTCTCCTTTGTAAAACTGACACAGTCTGGACCTTTATCACAGTACGAACAAATCCTTTTGTTCTTGAGTGATTTCCAGATTGCTTTGCAAGTGCCCCACAGATAAAGATTGGCCTTTTAAAAAGTGTTTCTGGTGTCACCAAATAGCTATCACAAAACCAGACATAAAAGTGAGGAAAGTCATTGTTTATCGATTTCCTGTTGATTATTTGTCTTTTGATTTTGGTTTTAGATTCTGAATTGAAGAAATTTTGCTCCAAAAACATCCTGGTCATCCTTGGTTTCTCCTCTATCATAGCTGTGATAGCGTTGATTGCTGTGGGGATGACCCAGAACAAACCATTGCCAGAAAATGTTAAGGCAAGTCAAATCCTATGTGCCCTCAAGTAGCCTCCCTTCTACTTTCATGTTTTAAAAACTCTAGATTCCATAATGAGAACACATGTAATATTTATGCTTCTGAACCTGGCTTATTTCACTTACCATGATCTTCAGTACCATCCATTTTCACTCCATTGTAAACACGCCAATTTAAAATGTCATTGAAATGACAAGAAACCTTTCTTTAAGTGCTCAGATGATGCCAATATACTAATGAGCACATATGGACATGTGGGTAGTGATATACCCAGATATTATCCTAACTAGGAGGTCATGGCACATATGTATAGAAATACGTTCTCTTGTTTCTGTAAGAGTAGAAAGATGCATGTGTATGCCAGACTTGTGAAACTTTTCCCACACACTCAAATCACTTGCTGTGTAGAAGAGCCATGGGTTTATATTGATGTCCTTTTGTCACACAAGTTCAACCCAGTGGGCTATGTACAGCTATGTACAGTCTTGTCAGAACAGAGCTGATTCTGTTACATTGTCCGTGTTCTCTTTCCATTCGCTGTTGAGTGCTTTTGGTTCTCTTGGCAAAACTTCACTCACAATGGAAGCCTCATGACATCTTGGTTTTGCTATTTGTTTATCAGCTCCAAAAGCACACCATTGCTTTCTTGATTTGACCTTTTTGCATATTTGGTATTGCATCATTGGAAAGCAGGCCTGCCTAGAAGGCAAAACCCATGACACACTTGAGCTCTGTGTTCCCAGTGAATACTGTGGTCGTGGGTGGCTTTCCTTCATTCATCAAGTCTGTTCTGTGTTGTTAAGTTGCCCTGGCAAAATGGAACAGGGTCTTCAGTGTGAGTGCATGAAGAGCAGCCATAGGTGTTAAAGTGAATCTTTATAGCAATATCACCAACTTATTTTACACAAAGGTAACTTTATACATGAAAAGTAGCCATTTGTCAAAGTTACACTGTAATTTTAGTAAGATTTCTGAATTATATTGGAATGAACTATTGGATACTACAGACAGAACATTTCCATTACTGTGGAAAGTTCTATTGGACATTGTTGCTCTCCAGTATTATTAAAAATATCTCTGAAGTGATTCAAAACTAAATTGAATGACTAATCCATATCATGAAAAATTTTACAAAATCTAAAATGAGGGACAAAAACGGAAACTTCTTTATTGTTAAGGTTTGTAAATTAGTACCCTGATCATCCTACATATCATGGGGATAAATGTAGAGCTGTTACTCAGGGGCTCTGTTTCAGGGGGTGCTTCCAGAATTTCTCCTATGGATAGTCAAATCTGTGGATGCTCAAGTGCCTTCTATAACATGGGGTATCATCTGCATAGTACTCATTTACTCTAGTGCCTTATGTGGAACAGACCCATTCAGCAAAGCCTATTCTAGTGTGTCCTGTGCATGAAAGCAGAGCCTTTATGTCCTAAACAACCCCAACTGGCCTCACCTCCCAACATGATTGCATTGGGGATTAAGTTTTCAACACGTGAGTATTGGAAGAGGAAGCATTCAAACCATAGTCTTACCACTACTTTATACTAGACTGTAAATTCTAACCTGTTAGGATGGGATTAGGAATCATATAGTTCTACTCTTTCCCATTCATTCATTCCTTCTTTGTGCCTAAGTAGACCTACCCTCAGATAGCTTACACTCTTAACAGAGAATATAGAATATGGAACTTAAAGAGTCATTATAATATATAATTACACCATGTAGTCAGTTATTTCCTTAGAGGAAAAATATAGGCATTCTAATGAACTCCTCATGTGAAGGGATTAGAGAAGTCCAGGATCCCAGGAAAAGGAGTTTCTAGACAAAGGCCTAGAACAGAAGCTGTGTGACCTGATAATTGAAAACAGCTTATGCAGCACTGGAGTTGTTTTCTGAATGAAGAGACTCATATGAGAAGGTTAAATGTCCTACCTCTTGCAGAGACATAAGCAGGCCACCTGACATTCCAGTTTTCTCTTTCTCCACGTCTAAGAGACCTATCCAGAAGGCTGGCACTCTGACATTCATGCAGGTAGAATTACTTCCATCCTAGGGGGCATCTGCTCTGAGTCCATATATACTCCATATAAGAGCCTGTATCTCCGGTCTTCACAAGGGACCCTGCACTTGTGGGCACTCCTGCCAAAAAGATCATTTCTACTGTTCTCTCTTCCAGACCACTTCCTTTCCTGTGGCATAGCTTGTGGAGCTCTATTATGGTCAGTAAATCACATGTACCATTCCGAACTAGCTTAGGACAAAATTGCATGTACTGTAAGATGACAGTATTTTTAAAAGACTACAAGAAAATATGTAAACAATAGCTTAGTATTTTATTAATAATAAAATGCCCAGGTAGAATCTTAAACATCATTCTCCCTCTATCTTTTGTGTAATGTTTAATAAACTTTTAGCTCTTAGAATACAAAATCATATTGAAATGATAATATTAAGGGAATATCAGATCTCTTCCCCACACTTGAATCTTAATCTTTGATTTTTCTTTAATATGAAGGGCATATCACTTTTCAAAACGCTTTAAAATGAGGTTCAGAGAAACACTGGGTTTCTTCATTGCAGACTTCTCTAAGGTATTCACTAGGTAGTGGATGGTAAATCCAGAAAGCAGTAAAAGCAGGAACATCTCCCAAATAACAACTGCTGCTGCTCCTCCTCCTACTACTTCTCATCTTCCTCCCTCCTTTTTTTTTTCTCCTACTTCTTCTTTCAGTACTTGAGTCTGAATTCAGAGAATTGTTCTGCTCTACCATGTAGTTGACTCACACCATCAGCTTCCCTCCCCCACATATTTTGCTTTATTTTTTCAGATAAAATTTCTTGTTTTTGCCTAAGCCAACTTCTGACCAAAATCCTCCTGTCATAGATGAAATTACATGTGTACTCTACTACACTTAGCTTATTGATTGAGATGGGATCTTGCTAACGTTTTGCCTGGGATGTCCTCAAACCATGATCCCTCTGTATCTTTTCCTCCCAAGTAGTTAAGATTTTCAACTCCCCCACCTTTTTGGATGGTTTATTTTTTGCTTTCTGGAACCTCTGCTGGAAGAATGCTGTATGCTGGAAAGAGAACAAAATAATAGGCTCTCTGGGCTTTAGGTGCACTTTGTAGCCATGGAAGGCAGACTCTTCAATCAGACTAAAAACTTAAAAAAGTCTATGACACAACTAAACAGATTAGGTTTCTGGTATGTTGTCACAGAAGGAGAAATGTCCTAATTCTTGCACTGAAAGGCCCTCTACTTCCTTCCTAGATACTTGCACACAAAATGTAGCAAACTTTCTACTACCTCAGTGTGTGAGTGAGGCCCAGTAAAGCAGGCTGATGGAAGCAGGGCTGGTTCCTTGGCTCTGCTGGAAGGGTGGCTTTCATGGCAACAAAGCAATAGAACAAAGTTAGAATAGAACGTCCTGGTTCCAGATAAAGGCTGCATGCTGCTGCCGACTTGCTTTTATTGTAGCTACTGTGGTTGAAACAGTTTCTGGCAGGAAGAATTCAGGGGTGGCACTAGGGAACAATAGAGTTTTCTACTGGGTAACCCTGAAGGCTGTTCCTGCATCCTGGGAGGTTTCCCACTGATCCAGAGGCTGCACACGTCCATCAGCATCTCTCACTGCCCACAGTAGCACCACATCTGCCATTTCTTGGATTCCTTCCATTGCAAGCTAGCTGCAGAGCAGTCCGGCTTACTTCTTTGCTGTGCCCAAAGCAAATATGGAGGTCATTTTCTTTCCAAGGGTATGGTGCCAGTTACTAGAGAGACTCCTGCTGTGCACATCAAGGCAAGGAATGCTGAGAGGTCATGGAGGGTCAAAGGTCCTCAGGAGCTCTGCACAGTGATACTTCCTGGGTGTTAGTGAAATGTGCACACTACCTTTAGCTGTTACTACTAATGGTCAAGGGAGGTCTCTTAAGTCTTCTTGTCTTTTCTCCCTGGAGGTTATTAGGTCTTATTAAATTATAAAAGGGGTTATTGTGACTTATTAGATTATAAGACAATGTATATCATCTATATCACAATATTTATCATAATATACATATATACAATAGGCAAATTAAGTATTTTCAGGTGGCAGATCACACTTTGAAGTGTGCAGCTCAAATGTGCAGCCAAGTGTGTCAGTTGGCTCACATTTCAGAAGTGCCTCTTCTTTTGCTTGCTTTTTGCTCTCCCCCCACTTCCCTCATGTTTTCTCTACTATAGAGATGATTAAAAATGGCATATGCCACCAAATTATCACAAGCCCGTGCAAATGCCACTAATCAACCATAGCATTTTCCTTCCAGTAAGCTCAAGAATATAAGCAAATACATATGATTTGACTTAAAAAATGAGCACTTGGACAATCTATTCCTGGTAGATATTCAATGAAGACCTAAAGATATTTCCACTAAATGAAATATACAAGAATATTCCTGACAGCTATATTCACAATAGCCCCAATTAGAAACAACCCAAAAGTACATCAGCAGTAAACTGGGTAAGAATACAGTGCATGCATATAATGAGATACTCACAGCAATGGAAAAGGATGAGCCATATAGTTCATAGGCATAGAATGAAAGAAATGAGACTTAAAGGAGTCACACCCCAAGAGTCCACTTTTTTGCAGTTCAGAAACAGGCAAAACTCATCCATGGTGATAGAAATCAACATGGTGGTTACTTTTGGGGTATCAGTAAGCCTGGTGGAGGCTAGAAAAATGTTCTAAAGAGCATCAATTCTAAAACCCTTGCCTAGCCCTTGTTGTTGTGTTTCTGGGTACTAGGTTTTCAACATGAGGTCTTGAGTCTGACCCTGATTCACATATATACTAGATATACTAGCTGTATATCTTGCATGAATTAACCTTTTTGTAGCTCCTCACTTATACAGAAAGGATAAAGATAGCATCTACTTTTTTGTATGTTTTTTATTGTAAAAATGCTATAGAGGGGTTACAGTTACATGAGCAAGGTAATGAGTGTATGTCCTATTGAGCATTGTTGCCTTCTCCTTTGTTTTCCCCCTACCATCCCTTCCGACCCACCTCCACAACTACCCATTCCTCACCACTGAAGTTGTAAAGTTCATTTTCAACATAGTGTAGCATCTACTTTATAACTGTTCTTCATGCCATTTGTCTTCTCCTTCCTTCTGAGTCCTTTGATCTCCTCCACTCTTACAGATCTGAAAACACAACATTTACATATCTGTCCAAATATACTGGATACATTTTAAAGTTATATTTTAATTTAAAAGCAAATATACTTAGAATTTTCTATCTCTCTTTTTTTTTTGGGGGGGGGGTCTGGTCGTAGGGCCTGAACTCTGGGCCTGGGCGCTGTCCCTCAGCTCTTCAGCTCAAGGCTAGCGCTCTACCACTTGAGCCACAGCACCACTTCCGGCTTTTTTCTTTTTGCTTATGTGGTGCTGAGGAATCGAACCCAGGGCCTCGAGCATGCAAGGCAAGCGCTCTACCACTGAGCCACCTTCCCAGCCCCTTTTCTATCTCTCTTTAAAACATAACTTCAGTCCTGTCCAGGGTAAGAGGATTAGTGGAAGTGGGTAGGACAGAGCGGGAAGGATGATTAATACAACCCAAATACTATATGAATATGTGTGAAATGTTACAGTGGAACTTGTTGGCTGGATAGAAAAACAAGGGATGAGGGAGAGTGACAGAAGTGGTAAGCAATGCCTTGCATGCATGAGGCCCTGGGTTCGATTCCTCAGCACCACATAAGCAAAAAGAAAAAAGCCGGAAATGGCGCTGTGGCTCAAGCGGTAGAGTGCTAGCCTTGAGCTGAAGAGCTGAGGGACAGCGCCCAGGCCCAGAGTTGAGGCCCCATGACCGTACCCCCCCCAAAAAAAAAAACAAAAAAGAAGTGGTAAGCAAACCATGATACATTGTATGTATAAATGAACATGTCAAAATGAAATGCCTTTGTACAACTACTTGACACTAGTAAACAAAAACCCCAAACCCTCACAATTCTATACTTACTCGCTGAAGATATTTATATGCCTACATGGCCCTCAGTGGATTAACTTAGTGGTCCCCAAACTTGTCTGCACATTAGAATTGTATGGAAAAAAAGAATTCCAAAGCTGAGGCCATATTACATCAGAGGGATGGAATATTGGCTTCAGCCTCTGAAGCTCTCCAGGTGATTCCATTATATAGACAAGTTTGAGAACTACTGAATTAGTTGCTTTCTGTTCTTTCCACGAATGTCTCAACTATTTCAGTGGAGTCTCTGAATCTTCACTGAAGGTTACAGTCCCTTAGGAAGCCTCTATATCCCTGCTGCTCAGGCCTCACCTTGAACATCTCTAGTGTGTAGCTGGAATTAAGAACCCTGTTCTCCAGGGATGCAGCTCCTGGGAGATCTTATGACTAGAGTGACTCCAGTTCCAAACTGACCAATGCTCTTCAATTAAAATGCCTCCCCAATGGCATTCCCTTTCTTTTTCAAGCTGAATATGGAGAAGAATGATGTGATACTGATAAGAGTTTTCTTCTGTCCTCAGTATGGGATTGTGCTGGATGCAGGCTCTTCTCACACAAACTTGTACATCTATAAATGGGCAGCTGAAAAGGAGAATGACACAGGAGTGGTGCGCCAGATAGAAGAATGTAAAGTGAAAGGTAAGATGGGAAGAGGAGGGGTAGACGGAGATCGGGACAACACAAGAGATATTTGGCAAGTAGAACACAAGAGAAAAGGGCGTTCCAGGGACAGGAAGTCAAGTGAGGATCACAGTGTATTTGCTATTGTCATTATCATTATAAAATAATATTGAAATCAGTCCTTGATGATCAAGTCCTTGAAGAATAGGCAAATTAAAAACAGTTATATAGTGGGGAGACTGAAGGTGTATGTAAGTGATAAATACCTACTTAGTATGTATGAGGAACTGGGTCTGATCCTCAGCAACCTGTTCCCCCATACATATACAATAATTGAGTAACTAACTCACATCCACATTTATGTAATGCACTGATTAGGAATTGAATTCAGTTCACCCTCATAATTTCCTACTGAGGTTTGTATTCCTATTTTTTAAAGATGAAGATACCAAAATCGAAAGGTTACATCACTTGGTTAACTTAGTAAGTGATAAAGTTTTAGTTTAAAACAAGGCATGCCCAACTTAAAACCCATATCTGGGTCAGCAGGTCTCAGAAATGGCATCAGAACCACTGGGATTTAAAAACACAAATATTTTACATTTCTGAGTTCACAGATTTGAGGGAGAAGACTGAAAACTTGTATTCCTAACACATTCCCAGGTAATACTAATGCTGCCAAATCCATAGAACTGCTCCTGTCCTCATCTTTGTACTCTAATCTGAAGCTTGGTGAAGTTCTCAAACATCTTCACAGTCTCTATAAGCAAGAACGAGCAGATCACTGATGCTTAGGGATGGGATCTTGGTTTGCAGGAAAGAAACCAAAAATCTGGAAGACTACTGCCTTGTAAGTAGCACCAGAACCAAGCGAAGCATATAGGTTTCCTAACTATATTACAGGCTTCTCACTAATTTGAACCATTGCATTATATCCTGATTGTTTTCCCAGACAATTTTCTTTTCAATTTATAATCCATGGAGGGTTGTTGACACTTTGGTTCTCACCACTCCCCTCCATCAGTACCCCAACTGCACCACCTACATCAAGATAAGGTGCCATATCACTTTAACCTTTGTCTCCCTTCACCTTTTGAGGGAGGAGCCTACTGTTTATTTTCAGTCAGACAGTTAATCCAGATCTCAGAAGGAATTGACTTTTAGTCTAATGGTCTGTGAAGTCTACCCCAATTTTATAACTTAATAGTAGAGAGGAGACAAGAGAAAAAAATCTTCTAAAGAGAAGGCTGATGTTCTTGAAACTCTGCCTTATCAACAGGGAGAAAGCACTTGACTTTCTTAAGGTTTCCGTACTTTATTTCATTGGCCTTTTTAAAATTGATTATCTTCTAATTTTAGAACTCTTCTTTCATCCATTAGATGTCTCTCCTCTGAGACTCAGACCATGTGTACATGAGTGTTCAGACTAATGAAGACAATAGCTTCCCCCCTCAAGAAAAATTGAATACTTAAAGCCAGATTTTCTGAATCAAAACACATGCTTAGAGATAATTTCCTCATTATGATTAATCTGTGAGCAGATAATTATCTGTAAAGGAACCTCACCGTGAAGCATTAATCATGTGATATTTATCTTAGTGTGAGAGAAAAATGTTGAGTGCTGACTTCAAAAAGCTTGCAGAATCTTGGCTCCAATCTTTCCCTAGCAACAGTTAGTTTTGCTCTAAAATTGGAATAACAGTCCTATTAGGAAAGCAAGAGATTGGAGTGGAAAAAGTCACTAAGGAGGCATGGCTTCAAATCCTGTTTCTTCTAACAGAGAAAAAAAAAAACTCCACCTCAGAAATTTTAGGACACACTTAGCAACACTTCTGTCTTTTCAGTCTGATGCCCTGAGGAGTCCACTCATTTTGTAACTTAATAAGTAAGAAGGAAGATAAAAGAAAAGCCTATCCAGAAGTCTGATACTCTAAGACTCTGGTCTCATCAATTTGGAGACAATAGTAGCTGGTGCTTATTTTAATTTTTGTTCTAAATATCATCCTTGCTTAAATCTTCTAGTAACTAGTGTTATAAATTAAAAATTTGTGGAAGAATCACCCAAAAGCAATTAATAGAGTAGCTAATGATCTATATGAAAATCTGAGAAACTGTTACACAGTTAAATATAAAATTGTGCCATCTAGTGGAAAAATTACTGAACACCAGACAGACCTAATCCAAAATTTGAAAATTAATAACAATGTTAGGCCCAGTGACTTAACTCTCTAAGTACCACCTCATTCATATATATTTTTTTCCTTGTATTTTCTTAGTAAATATAATATTTTTCTCTAATATTGTCAATGTATGTCCTATATTTTTTTTGTAATAGTACTAGGACTTGAACTTTGGACCTCTTTTACTTAGCTCTTTTGCTTATGTCTGGTGCTCTACAACAAAAGCCATGCCCCCATTTCTGGCTTTTTTTCTTGTTATCTGGAGTTCAGACCCTCTTGGATTTGTCTGCCCAGGCTGGCAAAAACTGCAGTTCTAGATCTCAGCCTCTGAACTCTGTGCTTGGGCACTGTCCCTGTGCTCTTCAGCTCAAGGCAAGCACTCTACTGCTTGTGCCACAGCACCACTTCTGGTTTTCTAGTGGTTTATTGGAGATAAGAGTCTCATGGACTTTCCTGCCCTGGCTTGCTTTGAACTGTGATCCTCAGATCTCAGTCTCCTGAGTAGTTAGGATTACAGGTGTGAGCCATCGGCGCCCGGCTAGATCTAGGCCTCTTGAGTAGATAGTATTATAAGGGTGAGCCACCAAAACCTGGCTTATACTTTAAAAAAAAATTACCACCTTTTATATCTTTCCTTAGGTCCTGGAATCTCAAAATATGTTCAGAAACCAAATGAATTAGACATGTACCTGACTGAATGCATGGAAAAGTCCAAAGAAGTGATCCCAAGTTCTCAACATCAGGATACACCAGTTTATCTGGGAGCCACAGCAGGCATGCGGTTACTCAGGTACAGTAGCATGTAGGGACCAAGAGTGGATACGAGTTAGAGGCAGTGCAACTATGAGAGGACCACATTCCTCCCCCCCCCCCTGCATCCCCCTACTCAAGTTATACACACTCCAAAGTCCATTCCTAGATAGGAAATTTCAGCAGGTGAGCAATACAATACTCTTTAACTCATAGTATGTACAATGGAAAGACTAGGTATCTAAAAAACCCTACCAGTCTCCCCATGGAAAAGTTGAGAAACATTAATCTCTGAGATTTGAGGCTGAAGATTTAGTCAATCAATATCTGGGAGGAAGATGAGTAGAAGAGATCCACAGATGTCCTAAAGCAAATAATCACAGTTTACACATCTTTACTTGTTACCTCTTGGTAGCAGTGTTCTTTGTATACTTGTTCATCCACCCATCCATCCATCCATCCATTCATTGGTTCAATATGTGATGAGCTTCTGCTCTACCCAGAATATGCAGCACAAAAACATGCTTCCCTACAGAATGAATTGTCCTTCAATAGAGGGATGTTTGGAGCTGCTGTGGGAGCTTTTGGCCCTGCCCAGGATGAGAAGCAGCCAGAGAAGGGGATATATGACCTTTATCATGACAGACAAGTTGGAGGGCAAGGAACGAGTGCTACATGCAAACAGACAGCAGTCATCCAGTGACTGCTTTTTATTAAGCACTTGTGAAGTGTCAGGCACTATTGGAAGCACTAGGGATTCAGCAATGAACAAGGCAAATTCCTTGACTTCATGGGGATTGTGTTCAAACGAACGTGCAAAGGCAGGGAAATTAAGGAAACCAAGACACAGTCCAGAGGGCTGTATTTCTGCACAGAGAGGAGATAGAGTAATAGTAGCAACTCATGTTTATTGAGCCTCTGCTACATTTTTTTTTGTCAGTCATGGGGCTTGAACTCTGGGCCTGGGCGCTGTCCCTGAGCTCTTTAGCTCAAGGCAAGCACTCTACCACTTGAGCCACAGTACCACTTCCGGTTTTCTGATGGTTCATGGAGATGAGTCTCAAAGACTTTCCTGTCCTGGCTGGCTTTGAACCACAATACTCAGATCTTCTCTCCTGCATAGCTAGGATTACAGGCATGAGCTACTGGCACCTGGCAACTGCTACATTCTTAACACTGTGCCAAACACTTTAATACATACATACTTGTTTAACCATCATAACAACTCTATAAAGTAAGAGATTTTTTTTGTGTGTTCCATCCTGAGGCTTTAATTCAGAAGCTAGGCACTGTCCCTGAGCTTATTTTGTTCAAGTCTAGCATTCTACCACTTGAGCCACAGCTCTACTTTCCAGCTTTTCTGGTAGTGTATTGGAGATAAGAGTCTTACAGACTTTCCTGCCTGGACTGACTAAAAGATACTATATTCAGCTAGAAAAGGGAGCTGTGGCTTACAGATGAGATTCAATACCTGGCAAGTGGCAGGACCCAAGCTGTGAGTTGGTTTCTGAGAAGACAAGGTTCAAATCACAAATGGCCTTGTGGATGCCAGGATTTGGGGTTTTAACTTGGAGACAATGTGAAGCTATTTAAGGTTGTTACACAATTAGTGTCACTAATAGAGATGTATTAGAGGGGAAGAAAGCTAGCGATAAAGGGAAGGCAGCTAATGGACACCATTCAATGGCAGACAAGAGTTGGCAGGCTGTATTCCCTCACAAGACTCAGTGTTGCATAGCCTAGATCCTGGAAGCAGTTTCATCTGTACTATGACAACCCTGAAAGACTCTTCAGGTCTAATGGTCTCAAACAGACACAATAATTGACTGGTTTTCCCAAGGTGGCAGCAGAGGAAGTTGGGTATCTGTCCCCAATCTCTTTCCACTTGTGTTCTACTATAGCCCTAATTAATACCAACAAGTCTAACTTTGTAACCAACTAGGAGCCACCATTAATGGTTAATACAGCACACAGTAGCTCTAGATATGATGAGGCTCCCACCATAGAATTTTTAAAAGAGCTTTTGATATTTGTAATCCAGGAAACAACAGAGCAAAAATTGTACTACTTTAGGAAGACCAACTTACTCAAGGACAGAAAGAATTGGATCTGGAAAAGGGACAAAAGAGTAACTCTCCCTCATCTTAAAGGGAAGGTTCCTTTGACTGCCATGTGCAGAGATCTCTGTGTCTCTACTTACTTCATTGTGTTATGGTCCACTTCTTGGGGTATTACATGGACAATCTGCCTGAATGGGTAGGTGTCATTTTTAAGACAAAATAGTAACCTCACCTCTTCTTTTGTGTAGAATGGAAAATGAACAGTCGGCAGAAAGGGTCCTGGCTGCAGTGTCAAGGAGCCTTAGCAACTACCCCTTTGACTTCCAGGGTGCACGGATTATCACTGGCCAAGAGGAAGGTGCCTATGGATGGATTACCATCAACTATCTGCTGGGCAAATTCACTCAGGTAAATACCCACAGCATCCATGAAAGTGGCTCATTGAGGGCCAGTGCCATTGCTATCTCGGAAAAGTATCTGAGTTGCTAGCCAGAATGATGGATGGATGGATGAATGAATGTATTCCCACTTGTGTAAAAGTCACTAGAAGTATACTTGTCTTTTAAGAACTTTTTCTATTAGTGAAGAGTATTGGAGCCTTATCTTCACCTTAGGAGGAGACATGAGGGAAAATAGAATCTATTTTGTTTATAATTAGTTTAACCTTATTAAAATTAAAAATAGCTGAGTGAGGTGGCACACAGTTGTAATACCAATTACTTGGGTAGCTGAGGCAGAAAAACTGTTAGTTCAAGGTCAGCCTGGGTTTCATAGCAAGACCTGATCTCCAAAACAAAACCAAAGGAACCAAAAAGAATGATTAGTATCTGTCTCGTGCTGTGTGTCTTGTGCTATGCTGAGCATTATCAGAACAAGAGCATGAGGCAAAATTATTTCTGTTTTAGATCTTAACATTAATAGCCAAAAAGGGTTATTATTCTGCCCAACATCACACATCTCCTGACTTACTGAGTGGAAATTGAGACTTGAGTCAGCTTGCCTTAGGCCCCTTGTTTGTAAGGACTAGTCACAGGGCTTCCAAATTGCTGGGGTCTGGCTATATCTTTGAAGCCCCTCTTTTCTTGCTATTGATTTGATGCTGGAGCCTGCAGTGAGCTTTGCCCCCCACTTCACTGACTTAGGAAGTTGCTGAGTGCAAGAAATCCTGTGTAAATCAGGATATCCACAGATTGCTAGACTAGTAACTGTCCTCTCTTTTAGAAATTGAGTTGGCTCAGCTTCATTCCACAAAGTCAGGAAACCTTTGGAGCTCTGGACCTTGGGGGAGCCTCTACACAAATCACTTTTGTACCCCTAAACTACACTGTGGAGTCTCCCGAAAACTCTCTGCAATTTCGTCTTTATGGCAAAGACTACACTGTATACACACACAGCTTCTTGTGCTACGGGAAAGATCAAGCACTCTGGCAGAAACTGGCCAAGGACATTCAGGCAAGTATAACTGAATTCAGACCTGCTCTCTCCACATCTGGTCCTCAGCCCCCACATCCTGTTATTTCCTTTTTCTAATCCAGTAATTGGTCTGAAACTGATTATTGTGCTTTCCAAATCTTTTTAGGCAGGATACCAAACTACATCTGGTCGACCCCTATGAGTTGTCCCATGCAGACATCCCCTCCTGTGTTTGTTTACTGCACTATCTCCAAGGACACAAGTCAGATCCTTTCTTAGGAACTAATTTCTCACCCTGGTGGCAATGATAATGAAAGTTACACATTAGAGCACTGTTCAGAAGAAAGGTTGCCATTTATAAGCTCATTTAGACCAGTTTTAAATCTCTTTCCTATAAATCACAGAAAACAGAGTTGTTAGAAATGACCTGGAGAGGAGGAAGAAAACAAAACCTCAGAACAACACTGAATTTGTTAGTCCATACTTTAGATCTTATTCCCAGATGCCTCTGCATTTTGAAGGCAGCATCGTGAGAGAACCAGGCACACCCTGACTAGCAGACACAGAGAGGGTGTCACATCAGCTTTTCTGTCTTCATGAAAGGACAGCCAGTTCTCTTTCCCACAACTCCACCGCACCCAGCACTCTGGTCCGTAAGATGACTACCATACGAATAGGTGCTGCTGAGTGATGCCCACTGGCCTCAAAGCACCGTGAAGTTTCTTTTCAACAGCTGCCCCTTTTCTTCTTTTGAGGGGTAAAACTCGTTTTTATACTTTTGGCTTGAAGGACATAAGGCACTTTTCAGGTCTTGGAGCTTCTGATTGTTTGGGGAGGGGAGGAAGGGACGGGGTGTAGACCTCTGGCTTATAATTTTGAGATTCTGAGAATTTTCTTTATGTGGCCTGTGTAATTAGGATTATGCATGAAGGGGCAGTCCCAACTAATGGCATTTCTGAACCCAGAATCACTCTATCAACATTCTGTAAATATGCTACTACATTGATGTCGGGTACCTCCTCCTCCTCCTCCTCTTCTTCTTATTTGTTCTTTCTTCTTCTTTCTTTCTTCTTCTTCTTTTTTTTGTCGGTTGTGGGGCTTGAACTCTGAGCTTAGGCGCTGTCCCTGCACTCTTCAGCTCAAGGCAAGCACTCTTCTGCTTGATCCACAGCGCCACTTCTACTTTTCTAGTGGTTTATTGGAGGTCTCACAGAAAAGTCTCACAGACTTTCCTGCTTAGGCTGGCTTTGAACCGCAGTCCTCAGATCTCAGCCTCCTGAGTAGCTAGGATTATAAGTGTGAACCCAGTGCCTGGCTCTATGGTACCATTGGCTATATGCCAATGATGTTGCTTAAGGCCTTCACATTGACCATATCAGAGTATGTCTTTAGTCCCCAAAATCATTTACACAGGATTCCTTCAAGTAATTTTCCCATTCAGGTTTCAAGTAGCAGAACCATCAGGGACCCATGCTTTCACTCTGGATATGAGAAGACAATGAATGTAAGTGAGGTCTACAAGAGCCCCTGCACCAACAGGCTCCAGAAAATGCTGCCATTTGATCAGTTTCAAATCCAGGGTACTGGAGACTATCAAAAATGCCAGCAAAGTATTCTTGAGCTCTTCAACACCAGTTACTGCCCTTACTCAAGCTGCGCCTTCAATGGGATTTTCTTGCCACCACTCCAAGGGAATTTTGGGGTAAGTCTGTAAAATAATGAGGTATATTGGAGAACGATTTTAGTTGCATGTTGGAGAATATGTTTAAATTATAGGATTTCTTGTTCGCTCTCATAATAACGTTGAGAAAATTCATGGCTGGTTATTTGGCCACACAAGGGTAGCAATTGGGATTACCTTCTCAATTATCTCCTTGACCTTTTTGTGGTGCTAAGATGGCAGCTACTGCTCCAAGCATCACATCTCCCCAAGTAATACCAATGCAGAAATGAAGTGTAGGGTTTGTCTTACACACTTAATTTAATTATGCAGAAGGGCCATAGATATTCTCTTAGCCAGAATGTGGTGAATGCACTAAGGTGTGTTACAGGAAAATGGATTAAAATGGTTTAAACATTGTCTCCTGGGAGAAGTGTTTCCTGAGCACCTTAACTTCCTCTATGTGGGTACATTTAGGTTTCTGTAAGCAAGAAGAAGGGCTCTGGGGCAGGCATCATTAGAATCTGCCACAGTGACTTTCCAGATGTCAGGAGGAAAAGCAGCAGTTGGAGCAGCTGAGCATTTTCCTCTTTCAAGACATTTATTTAAAAGTAGAAACACAGGAAATCTCAAGGAAGATTTAAACTCAGAAAACCCCAAGAAAGATTTAAATCTGAAGGAAGTATTGAAATTGCAACATTGCATTACATTTTGAAGAGTTGAGAGGTATTTGAACTACAGCTTCAAATTCATTCCTTTCCAATTATGGGAGGACAGACCTCTTGATATAGTAATTCAGATTCCCATATTTTGGTTCTGAGACACCAAGCATTATTGCAATCACAAGGAGTATATTGCAAAATTATCTACTATCTGTTAGGCAGCAATTATTGACTAAGTGTTTATAGATACATAAATTTATTCAAGAAATCATTCAAAGAAATAAAGGCCTTTGTCTGCCTTCATATTCTTTTTCCCTTCTCAAAAATAAAAACAAGCCGGGCGCTGGTGGCTCACGCCTGTAATCCTAGCTACTCAGGAGGCTGAGATCTGAGGATCGCGGTTCAAAGCCAGCCCGGGCAGGAAAGACCGTGAGACTCCTATCTCCAAAAAACCACCAGAAAACCGGAAGTGGCGCTGTAGCTCAAGTGGTAGAGCGCTCGCCTTGAGCTAAAGAGCTGAGGGACAGCGCCCAAGCCCAGAGTTCAAGCCCCATGACCGACAAAAAAATAAAAAAAATAAAAACAAGACAGCATGGATAAAAGGAGATCTGATTCTAAATACCCCTCCAGAGAGCAGCTCTCAGTTCTCCTGACTCAGTACAGGATCATAGGAAGAGCTTCCTGGAGAGAGCTCAGGATCTACAGTAATCAAACCTGACCTAATTCCTGATTTTTCTCTTTCTTTCCTTGCTTTCTTTCGCTCTCTCTTTCTTTCTTTCTTTTCTTTCTTTCTTTCTCTTCTTTTCTTTTCGTCAGTGTGGGGCTTCAACTCAGGGCCTGGGTGGTGTCCTGTCCCTAAGTTCTTTTGCTCAAGGCTAGCACTCTACCACTTTGAGCCACAGCTTCACTTCCAGTTTTCTAGTGGTTAACTAGAGATAAAGAATCTCAAGGACTTTCCTGCCCCAGATGGCTTTGACCCAAGCTCCTCAGATCTCAGCCTCCTGAGTAACTAGGATTACAGTCATGAGCTACCAGGGCCAATCCTAATTCCTAATTTCTTAGGAACTTGGTGAGCTTTTCATTGTCTTGCTGTCTGAAAAAACAGCAGTAGGTAGTGTCATGGGTCTAGGCTTACATTAACCTTAGTGGCAGGTGAAACCTAAAACGTTAGTTGTTGGGGGTGCTTTTTTGTTGTTGTTGTTGTTGTTTTAATTGCTGTCATGGGGCTTGACTGCTCACAGTCCCTGAGCTCTTTTGCTCAAGGCTAGAATTCTACCACTTTGAGCCATAGCTCATCTTCCTGTTTTTGAGTGGTTAATTGGAGATAAGAGTCTCACAGGGACTTTTCTGCCCTGGCTGGCTTCAAACCACTATCCTCGGATCTCAGCCTCCTGAGCAGCTAGGATTGCAGGCATGAACCACTGGTGTGGGGCAAAAATTAGTTCTTCTTCCCAGCAGCCTTCATCCTGTCATTCCTGCAGGAGTTCTCATTGCCAAGTCCTTGGTACTTGTATTTGTACATAGGTATTTGTAACATATAAATCCAGCTTCAGCGGGGCACTGGTGGCTCACACCTGTAATCCTAGCTACACAGGAGGCTGAGATCTAAGGATCACGGTTCAAAGCCAGCCCGGGCAGGAAAGTGTGAAACTCTTATCTCCAATAAACCACCAGAAAATGGAAGTAGTGCTATGACTCAAGTGATAGAGCGCTAGCCTTGAGCTGAAGAGCTGAGGGACAGCACTCAGGCCCAGAGTTCAAGCCCTATGACCAACAACAACAACAACAACAAAAATCCAGCTTCATTCTTGTGACTTTCAAAATCATTCCCCTGGGTGTTCTAAACCAGAATTTATGATGGGAGGATTTTTGCTCCAACTTTTTGTAAGGTGGAGATCGGAAGATTGCAATTTGAGGCCAGGGTAGTTTAGTAAGAACTCATCTCAACAGAGAAGCTGGGTTTATGATGAATAATTATAATGCCAGCTTCATAGGAGCTGTAGGTAGGTAAGAGAATGGCTAGTCAAGGCTGCCTTGGGCAAAATCCCGAGTCCCTATCAGAAAAATAAAGCACAAAAGAGCTGGGAGTGTGGCTCAAATAATAGAACACCTGCCTACCAAGCCTGAGCCCTAGATTCAAACCCTAATACCACAAAAGCAAACCCTGCCAAATAAAAAAAATCTTGGCAATACTCTCATCAGTTTGGCCATGTGTAGCCATAGTTACCAGATATAATCAAATGTAGGCAAAGTAGAAACACCAAAAAGGAAGAGGGAACATCTGTTGAGAATTACTTATGGAGTAACTTCAGAATTATTTTTTAAGACCACATTGCATCATTTATACAAACAGCACAGGCCAGAAAGAAATTCAGTAAGGAACTAGAACATTTAAAGTGTATTTGTTTACATACATGTAATACATCTGACCACTGAGCAACACAGAGGTTAGGGAAGCTGGTTTCACTTGAAAGCAAAAATCCATGCATAGCTTTTTTTTTTTGTCAGTTGTGGGGCTTGAACTCTGGGCCTGGGCGCTGTCCCTGCACTCTTCAGCTCAAGGCAAGCACTCTACCGCTTGAGCCACAGTGCCACTTCCGGTTTCCTAGTACGTTTATTGGAGATAAGAGTCTCATGGAGTTTCCTGCCCAGGCTGGCTTTGAACTGTTATCCTCAGATCTCAGCCTCCTGAGTAGCTAGGATTACAAGCATGAGCCACTGGCGCCCGGCACCATGCATAACTTTTAATACTGGGAATAGAACTCTGAACTCATGCTGGGCAGGTGTTCTGCTTTATCCATGCCCTTAGCCATTTTATTTTTGTTTTTGATACAAAATCTTGTGACTTGGGGCTGGGAAAGTGGCCCAGTGGTAGAGCGCTTGCCTTGCATGCCAGAGGCCCTGGGTTCAATTCCTCAGCACCACATAAGCAAAAAGAAAAAAGCCGGAAGTGGCGCTGTGGCTCAAGTGGTAGAGCGCTAGCCTTGAGCTGAAGAGCTGAGGGACAGCGCCCAGGCCCAGAGTTCAGGCCCCACGACTGGACCCAAAAAAAAAAAAAAAAAAATCTTGCTGACTTTGTCCAAGCTGGCCTCAACTCATCATTTTCCTCCTCTGCTTCCTTAATTGTGATTACAGGCATATACTACCACACTCAACTCCCTACATACAGCTTTCTAAAAACAAAAACCCAAAAGAAGCCACAAACTATTCAGGGCCTTTATTAACAGGTGCGTGCAGTTTGTCTTTTATCTTGCTTGGCTTTTTGCGGGAGTTCCGGGGAATGGGGTCAATATCAGACTGGCAGAGGCTAGGTAAGCGTTCCATCACTCAGCCTATATCCCCCAGCCTCTCTTTTGAAAATGTTTATTATTTTTTATTTTATTTTATATATTATTTGTTGTTGTTATTTAATTAGTGTACAAATTCAACATGTTCAAACCCTTTAAAAAAGTGTTTGTTTGTTTGAGTCAGGGCATAAGTAATTTGAACAGGCTAACCCTGAACTTGGTGATCTTCCTGCCTCAGCCTTCAGAGTAGCAATAATTACAAGTACCATGCTCAGCTTTTCCTCCTTCCTCTCTTCCTTCTTTATCAGATAATTTAAAATCTGGGACTATAGTTGCATAACAACACACTGAGATAGGATTTAACAGATTTCAGGGTAGATAGAAGGAAAGAGTTATATACTCTTTAAATAACCTTCCATAAAATCTTACCTTAACCAGATGTAAAAGTGAAATCTTTAAAAGGATATTGAAGCTTGGCGCAGGTAGCTCATGCCTGTAATCCTAGCTACTCAGGAGGTTGAGATCTGAAGACTGCGGTTCAAAGCCAGCCCAGGCAGGAAGTTACCTGAAACTCTTATCTCCAATAAACCACCAGAAAACCGGAAGTGGCACTGTAGCTCAAGTGGTAGAATACTAGCCTTGAGCTGAAAAGCTGAGGGACAGCGCTCAAGCCCAGAGTTCTAGCCCCACGACCAAAAAAAAAAAATATTGAGAAAAACGCGTTTTAAAATTTTTGTCATTACCAAAAAGATAATTCTTAGTTAAAATAATCAAAACCACATGCTATATTAATAATGCAGATAGTTCTAGTTATCTGGTCAATGGGCAAAAGAATAGTATTTGAGGTTTTCAAGTCTAATCTTTTTTTTTTTTTTTTTATTGTAAAGCTACTATACAGAGGGTTACAGTTACATGAGTGAGGTTATGAGTACACTTCCTCTTGAACATTGTTACCCCCCTCCATTGTTTTCCCCCCTACCATCCCCTCCCTCCCTCCCTTCCCCGAGGTTCTTTTTTTTTTTTTTTTTGATTGTGATTAAATGATTACATAATTTCAAAGTCACAAGTTGATTCTAACTTCCCTGGAGCAAAT